CTGAGTTTTCACATGTCCTGCCCTGGAGTATGGCCCCTCGGTGCTGGCACAGGACCTCACTGATTGAGCAGTACCCTGAGTTTTCACATGTCCTGGCTGGGAGGGCGGCCCCTCGGTGCTGACAGAACCTCACTAAAGACTAGGGGCTCTTGGTCCAGGGCACCACCCCACCAAGGGGACACTTGTTGATGTCTGGAGACATTTGTGTCTGTCTCAACAGAGAGGGTGCTTCTCGTTCTGCTGGGTGACACCAGGGGTGCTGCTGAATGCACAGGGCAGCCCTTACCACAAAGAATTGCTTACCCAGAGTGCCAGTGGTGCCCAGCCCAAGAAACCTACTGAAGACCCTCTAATAGAGAAGTCATTCTCCAGCCTCCCTTCATGGAAACGGGAAAACTGAGGCAAACAGCAGGACCCTTCACAGATAGCTCGTGTTTCCACCATGTGCTGGGGGCCTAGCATGAGTTTTCCAGCTTAAATGGTGAACATTCAGCAGATATCTGTGTTTTTGCTTGCTGGTGACTATTCTTAGATCCTATAATGAAAAGATGAAATTTCCAGAGAATTACACTGAGAAAAAATAAAAAGCCAATCCTAGATACTTAACATACTATTAATATATTATTCCATAACATTTTGGAAATGACAAAGTTCAGAAGTGGAGGACAGAGGAAAAGTTACCAGGGGGTAGGGACGGGGTGGGCTGTGTGGTTAGAAAAGGCCCCAGGAGGCAGCCTTCTGGGGGAATGGTTGGGGTTTTGGCTGAGGTCATAGACATGCACACCGAGGTGAGTTACAAGTAAACTGGACCATCTGAAAAAGACTAGGGGTTATTAGTGTCTGTATCCCAGTTGGAATGCTGCTCTGTAGTTTTGCAGACTGTTGCCATTAGAAGAAACTATGGAAACGAAGGTACTGGGATTGCTCTGCTATTTTTACCATAACGCAAGTCTTTCATTATCTCAATAAAGATTTCCATTAAATATAAAAGCTAAATGAAGGCTTACATGCTGCTTTATGGAATAAACAGATCTGAAGTCATGTATCAGTCCAGCTTGGAAAGCCGGTACACACACAGCACCCCTCCCAACAAGGTCTCATACAGTGCTATTGAATTGGAAGTTATAACTGAGTCATATTAAATCAGCCATAAAGCTACTGAAAATTTAGGATTTTTGCCAGTGAGACAGTCTTCAGGGGATAGGAATACATCTAAATACTAGGAAAGGTTCACCTTTGCAGTTTTCAGTCTGGGTAATAAAAATCAGTGTGTGGCAACTGGTGCGGTGGCTCACACCTGTGATCCCAGCACTTTGGGAGGCTGATGGGTGAATCACAAGGTCAGGAGATCGATACCATCCCGGCTAACACAGTGAAACCCCGTCTCTACTAAAAATAGAAAAAATTAGCGGAATGTGGTGGCGGGTGCCTGTAGTCCCAGTGACTTGGGAGGCTAAGGCAGGAGAATCGTTTGAACACGGGAGGCAGAGGTTGCAGGGAGCCAGGATCGCGCCAGTTCACTCCAGCCTGGGCAACAGAGCGAGACACTGTCTCAAAAAAAAAAAAAAAAAACCGTGCGTGACCATCACCCCTAAGTGTCAGCAATAAGCGGCTATGCTGTAACAAAATAGTAGTTTACATTCAACTCTACATGCTGTCATCAAAATGAAGCTGGACCTTATAGTGTATGAGATGTTGAGTAAGAGGTCCCTCCACACCTGTGAGCCACATATTGCCCTCTCCAGGAGGATCTGTGCCCTTGCTGTTGGCATCCTTCCACCAGCCAGCTGCCTTGCCTGTGTGTGTGACATGTGAGTGCCTGTGTGCATTCTATTGAGACAAGTTTTTTTAAGTTCAGTAATTGTATTCAGCTCCTCTTCAGCATATATAGTTTATGTCATCAAATAGTTAACTGTTTATTAGCATCACACACACACTTTTAGGAGTGTTTAATACAGCATTTTTAAATTAAAAATACAAACTGGCCCAGGTACGGTGGCTCACACCTGTAATTTCAGCACTTTGGAAGGTTGAGGTGGGTGGATCATGAGGTCAAGAGATCGAGACCATCCTGGCCAACATGGTGAAAACCTCTCTAATGAAAATACAAAAATTAGCTGGGCATGGTGGTGTGTGCACCTGTAGTCCCAGCTACTCAGCAGGCTGAGGCAGGAGAACTGCTTTAACACAGGAGGCAGAGGTTCCAGTGAGCCGAGATCGCACCACTGCACTCCAGCCTGGCAGCAGAGTGAGACTGTATCTCAAAAAAAAAAAAACAAAATGCAAACTAGAAATAGCTTTTCATGGTTAGAAGTGATGGAGAAAGAAAACTGTAGCTAAGAAATCCCAATAGATGTATTGAATTAGTAAGAATTAACTTGTCTTTGAGGAACTTATACATAAATGTTCTTTAAGAAGCCGTGGACATTTTCCCAGTCATTTGGAAGTTCTCTCAGAAACAATTGTAAGAGCAAGGCATTTATTGTATATCTAACTGTATATTCACACCAGACACAGGGGCTCATCCCTATAAACCCAGCACTTTGAGAAACCAGAGCAGGATTGCTTGAGGCCCAGAGTTTGAGACCAGCCTAGGCAACATGGCAAGACCCTGTCTCTACAAAACTTTTAAAAAGATTGGCCAGATGTGGTGGCCTGAGCCTGTGGCACCAGCTTCTCAGAAGGCTGAGGTGGCAGGATTGCTTGAGCTTGGGAGGTCAAGGCTGCAGTGAACCGTGATTGCACCACTGTACTCCAGCCTGGGCCACAGAGTGAGGCCCTGCCCCATTTAAAAAAAAAAAAAAAATTTACTTAATTTTTGAAATATGAACTCAACTTGTGAAACTTTTAAAGTTATTGAGTATTTACTACTAAGAGTAATTTATATTAAACTATCCTGATTATGTGATAGCAGGAGAAAATACTATTTGGTATTATAAACATGTTGCTGAGTTGGTATTGATTTGCTTTTGTAGACTTTCGGGACAGCGATTGTCATCAATCCTGAGAAAGATAAAGACATGGTCCAAGACCTGCTGGACTTCAAGGACAAGGTAGACCATGTGATAGAGGTCTGCTTCCAGAAGAACGAGCGGTTTGTCAACCTTATGAAGGAGTCGTTTGAGACGTTCATCAACAAGAGACCCAACAAGCCTGCAGAACTGATTGGTAGAAAAATCTGTTTTGTTTTGTTTTGTTTTTGAGACAGTCTCACCCATTTCTAGATTGTTTTTTAATGTGGGAAAATAAGGCAAAACTCAACCAAATTTTTTTCCACAATGTTCAAGCTGCTCGTGGGGTGTGTGGAAAGTGTTTTTATCAAGTCTTATTGGGACATACATTTTAAAAAGTGGGACACACCTGCATTCATGGGTGGAGGAGGGCATTTCCGTAAGGGAACATGAGGTAGGAATTTAGAAAAGAAATGACGCTTGACTTCGCCAAAGAAGAAAGGGGTGATCCACCATCTTTGTATCCTCTGATCAGTATTAAAATAGGATAAAATCAGGTGAGATCTCAAATGATAGCATATTTTTAAATACTGTTTTTAAGTTGTACATTTTTTTCACAATAATACCAAAATAATTTCAGAATTCCTAGGCTTTCTCTAGTCAGTAAAATTTTTTTTTAATTTAAAGGAGAAAAAGGGCAAAGATAACTGTAATACGATGATACTAGATTGACTGTTGATTACGCTGAAGGTGCATGATGGAACATGGAGCTCATTGTGCAGTTGTCTACTTTTCTGTGTGTTCAGAATATTCCATTGTAAAATGGTCAAAAGAAAAAAACGAATACAAGCAGCAACAGAAGAAATTGAGGAGGCAGCTTACTTTGGCTTTTGTGCCTCTGTTTCAATTTTGGTTTCTCTAAAAAGGAATGTTGAGTTTTTGGGAGTTTAGGCTTCTGGAAATCTTGAGTTCCATCACGTGAGACGTAGATCCTCCCGAGCCACCTCGGATGGCTTGTGCGGCCTCAGAAACAGGAAGCCTGAGTAGAAATGCTTCTACCCTGCATTGCCACCTTGGATGCCCTGAGAGTCTTTTTCTTTGAGAATGTCTCCTGAGTTGATGACACCAGATCCCAGGAATGGGCACTCCTGCGTTTGGGGCAGCCATGTGTCCTGAAACCTGAGCATGTGATCACTGAACCCATTTTATTTTGAAATTCAGAGATTACATTTAGAGATAAGAAAGATAGTTAAACCTGCTTTAAACATTCAGTCCCTGGCTTTGTTAAAATTTTGGGAAGTATTTACTCTCGCATGACTTAAGAGTATTTATCTTAGAAAATCAAATATTTGCTTTTTCGTCATATAGTAATGTCATTTTGGAAAGGTTCCAGAATGTTACTGTACAGTGTTGCTTATAGAAATTAAAGATGCTATGTGTTTGTATGTTTTTATGTAGTATTCCTATATGTTTATGCTCACAGCAAAGCATGTGGATTCAAAGTTAAGAGCAGGCAACAAAGAAGCCACAGATGAGGAGCTGGAGCGGACATTGGACAAGATCATGATCCTGTTCAGGTTCATCCATGGTGAGATTTGGGCACTCAGAAAATGCTGCATAATCTAGAGATGTAAACACAGGTTCTGCTTTCTCAGAGGAAGTTTAGCATGAGAATGTCGGTTCGGTAGAGCCAGTTTGCATTAGAATGGACACATTTAAGGGTTTTCAGCAGTTGAAGCCTAACATTTGCTTATCGGCGCTCTGATGTCTTGATTCTTCTCATCTGGTTATAAATAGGTAAAGATGTCTTTGAAGCATTTTATAAAAAAGATTTGGCAAAAAGACTTCTTGTTGGGAAAAGTGCCTCAGTCGATGCTGAAAAGTCTATGCTGTCAAAGCTCAAGCATGGTAAGCATGTGGGGCCTGGGCTCCCCGCCGGAACTGAGGGTCGCTGCCCTGCGTGCTGCCCCAGTCTCACTCCCTCCTTTGCCGTGTCCAGAGTGTGGTGCAGCCTTCACGAGCAAGCTAGAAGGCATGTTCAAGGACATGGAGCTTTCAAAGGACATCATGGTTCATTTCAAGCAGGTGAGTTGTGTTTCTTCAGGTAAAGCGGCTTTTTAAAAAGTATCTGCTGAGTGTGGTGGCTCATGCCTGTAATCCCAGAACTTTGGGAGGCTGAGGCAAGAGGCTTTCTTGAGGCCAGAAGTTCAAAACCAGCCTGATCAACATAGCAAGACCCTGTCTTTACAAAAGAAAAAAATTTTAAATGAGCAGGTAGGGTGGCACATGCCTGTAGTCCCAGCCACTACAGTGGGACCGAAGTGGGAAGATCACTTGAGCCCAGGAGTTTGAGGCTGCAGTGAGCCATGACTGCACCACTGCCCTCCACCTGGGCATAAAAGTGAGACCTTGTTACAGATGTATGGATAGATAGCTAGATACATAGATACATAGACAGACAGACATAGCAATACCTTGTCATAGATAGAGAAATAAGGTAGGTAGATTCAATAGATTAGATAGAATGAATGAATCTCACTCTAAACTGTGTAAGAAAAAAATTACACTATTCATGTTTCACAAGTAAATTTTAAAAGGAGAAGAAAAGAACCTCTAAACCTGTGGCAAGAATTTGATTTCTGTGAGTCTGGTAGTAACACCTGAAGAAGGGGAGAAGTCAGTTCCAGCATGGCATTGGATTTTACAGAGTATGTTCTCGGGACTCAGATAAATACACAGATGAATCTTTGTTTTGAAAATTACACAGTTAATTTTGTTATAGGTTAATTATGTTTTATGACTTTCTCAAATGATTATTTGTCTTGGATTTCTCTGTTTTTAGCATATGCAGAATCAGAGTGACTCAGGCCCTATAGACCTCACAGTGAACATACTCACAATGGGCTATTGGCCGACATACACGCCCATGGAAGTGCACTTAACCCCGGAAGTAAGTGTGCAGACAGCGTGCTGTCTGCTCCCACGGTCATGCCCTTTCCAGGCAGATATGTTGCCTTCAAGAATTGTTTAATGGGGAGTTTTTAAAAATAGCCCACGCAGTCCAAAATCAAAGTGCTCTTATGGTCTTTGGAAAGCAGCATTAGAAAGTGACCACTTTTGTCACCTGCTGTGGTTCCTCCCAGTGCAGCCTGTGTCCACCTGCCGACCTGCAGGGGGCCCACGAGCACAGGCACTTGTTTGAAAGTTATGGCTGACTGAGCTGTGGTTGTCTGGTTCTTATTTCTTTCCATTGTAGACATTGCTGACGTCTTGGGAATGGCATTATTTAGGGTCTTTTTGTCAGCCACGACTTTAGCCACACTAAACTCTTTAGTGGAGGGTTTGCACATCAGAGATAGAATTCTGTGCCCAGTGAAGTTAAAATCAGCAGGAGACACAATACGTGCAACCCTTCAATATAATACTGGGCAAAGGGAAAGGGCTGATACCAGCCTGGGATCATCAAAGACATCCTGGAAAAGGCATCCCTTAAGCCTGATCTCAGCTAGAGGTGAATGATTATTTTCTCAGCTGAGAAGGGCAGAAAAACTTATAGCTACAGTGGTCGGATAATGTCATTCCTTTTCTCATCCCTCATAAGGGCCATGGCCAGTGCTCCTTTAACAAAAGACAAATTAGGAGGAGAAAACCATAACAAATTTTATTTAATCAAAGTCTTACTTAACACAGCAGGCTTCAGAAATGAAAACCAAAGAACCGGGGAAAACTGTCCATTGTTATGCTTTGGTTTGATCAAGAATGGGCAGCCATGTAGAAATAGGTGCGTTAGTCTGTTTTGCATTGCTATCAAGGAGTACCTTAGGTGGGGTAATTTGTAAAGAAAAGAGGTTTCACTGGCTCACGGTTCTGCAGGCTGTGCAAGCATGGCACCCGTGTCTGCTCAACTTCCGATGAGGTCTCAGGAAGCTTTTACTAAAGGTTGAAGGCAAAGGGAGAGTAAGTGACAGGGTGCAAGAGGCGGTGTGGGAAGCTCCCAGACTCCTAAACAATCAGATCTCCTGATATCCCATTATCTCAGGGAGGGCAACAAGTCATTGATGAGGGATCCACCCCATGACCCAAACACCTCCCACCAGACCCCACCTCCAACACCGGGGATCACATGTCAATGTGAGATTTAGAGGGGACACGCACCCAAAATCTATCAGTGTGACTAGACACAAGGGTGCCATCTGACAGTGGGAATCCAGTAAGACCCGTCTGTTGAGATTCCTCTTGCCCTCTCTGGGCAGCGTTCTTTCCTCCCAGGTGTAGGGCAGAACTTAACTATCAGCAAGGTAGATCAGAGAACTTCTTAATGTCCAGATCCTACACAAAATGGCAGGGGAAGGATGGATTAATGTCTCCAGGTTTTAAGACTGGCTTTGGGGGAGAGAGGCTCAGGCTTTCTCTCACCCGCCTCAGGGAAGAGGAATTCTGATTCCAGAACTCACTTTGGTGGAGAAAGTGGGGTAGGAGAAGGTCAGAGAGAGCTTGCTTCTGTGCAGGATGCTCAAAGAGAGCCAAGCAACCTGCTTTCCATGTTGGCCATGTGGTGTCCCCCCCGCCCTCCACAGATGTGCGTGCTCCTGCACCATTCCCTTTACCCTTGGTATTTGAGTGGCTGTTTCCCAAGAACAGAAAGCTCCCTGTCAGATGAGGGCATTCACCTGATTTCTGCTTTCATTTCGTTTCTACTGGCTCTCTCAAATATGTCTTTTGCAGCATTTTTTTCTGGTACCCCGTTGAGCCCAGGACCCAGGCGGTCTTTGGTGCCCCCTTGCGGGTAGCAGGTTCAGGTTGTGCAGGTCCAGCCAGATGCCCCGTGTCCCCATCAGGATCCTGACAGAAGGCGTGTGCTACCATGTGTTCCAGTATCCTGATGAAGTGCAATAGAACCCTTCTGTTAAGGTGCTAGCTGCCTTCTCCACTGTATTATTAGTGTTTTTCCTCTTGTAATTACTAAGTAATCTGTGAGGAGACGTTTCAGGACTACGTAAACATCTTAATCCTCATCCAGCTGTCACCTGTGTGGCAATTCCTGCCTGAATTGATGTTTACCTTCGTGAATGGGGATTTTTTTCCAGTTCTGTTGTTTCTTTGTATTTAGAAGTTGACTTTCTAAGAAAGAGCCCTCCTTTCCACCCACTTTATTTGCTTATTTCTTTCTCTCTCTTCATCATTAAGAACTCATGGATTCTTAATTTATGTACTTATTTTTATGCCTAAATTGCCCCATATGTGGTCCATGGCCGGCCACCCTGACGCTGGCTCCTTTGCTCTTTGATATGTCCACATCAGTTTTTAGTACTTTTTTTGGTACATTTTTTAGTACTTTTTTGTTTTCTAGCAAAAGATGTTTGAGGCTTACCCTACTATATTTTTTTTAATGTGGTAAAATATACTTTAACATACAACTTAACATTTTAATGTGTATGGTTCAGAAACATTAAATGCAGTTGTTCCTCAGTATCCATGGGGTATTGGTTCCAGGACCCCCACAGATACTAAAATTCACAGACTCAAGTCCCTTATACATAACCTATGCATACCTTCCCATATACTTTAAATAATCTCTAGATTATTTATAATGCCTAATAAATGCTATGTAAATATTTGTTATACTGTATTGTTAATAGTACAGTAACAGACTGTTCGGATTTTTTTTGACCTTTTAGGGGATTAATGACAAAAAAGTTTGTACATGTTCAGAACAGACAACCATCCCTTTTTTTCTTTCGAAAATTTTTGACCTGAGATTGGTTGACTCCATGGCTGTGGAACCCACGGACACAGAGGGCCAGTGGTACATTCACAGGGTTACAGAGCTGTCACCCCGTCTGTCCCAGAATTTTCTATCACTCTGTTAGCAGTTCCTCCCCAACCTGCTCTCCTCAGCAGCCACTATCTGCTTCCTGTCTCTATGGACTTGGCTACAGTAGATATTTCACATGAATGGAATCATACAACTTGGGAACTTTTGTGTCTGGCTTCTTTGACTTAACGTGCTGTTTTCAAAGTCCATCCATGCCGTACCACACATCAGCCCTTCATTCTTTCTCTGACTAACATCGCATTGTATGGGTAGGTCACATTTGGTTTATCCATTCACCAAATGTTGGGCATTTGGGTTATTTCTACCTTTTGGCCACTGTGAACAATGCTGCTGTGAACACGGGTGTATAGGTTTTAGTTTGAACACCTGTGGTTGCTCCTTTTGGGTATAGACACACCTGTGATCACTCCTTTTGTTATATACACACCTGTGATCGCTCCTTTTGGGCATATACACACCTGTGACAACTTTTGTGTATATACACACCTATGACAACTCCTTTTGTGTATATACACACCTGTGATAACTCCTTTTGTGTATATACACACCTGTGGTCACTCCTTTTGGGTACGTACACGTCTGTGGTCACTCCTTTTGGATACGTATTACCTGTGGTCGCTCCTTTCAGGTACGTGCACACCTGTGGTCGCTCCTTTTGGGTACCTACACACCTGTGGTGACTCGTTTTGTATGTATACACACCTGTGGTCATTCCTTTTGGGTATATACCTGGGAGTGGAACTGCTGGGTCATGAAGCAGCCTGTAGTTTCAGTTCTGAGGAATTGCCAGACTGTCTCCCACAGTGGCTGCACCAGCTTCTATTCCAGTTAGCAATCACGAGCATTCCATCTTCCCACCTTCTCACCTAGGCCTGTGATTTGCTTCTTTCATGGTAGCCATCCCTGTCGGTATGAGCTAGTGTCACATCTTGCCATGATTTGCATTTCCCTGATGACTATTGATGTTGAGCATCTTTTCATGTTCTGATTGGCCATTTGTGTATCTTCTTTGGAGAAACGTCTGTTCACGTGCTTTGCCCAGTTTCTAACTGGTCTGTTTGTCTTTTGTTATTAAGCTGTAAGAGCTCTTTATATTCCAGATGCTAGACCCTTATCAGATCTGTGATTTGCAAGTATTTTCTCCCATTCTGTGGGTTACCTACTTTATTGATAGTCTGCTTTCTACAAAAGTTTTTAATTATGGTAAAATCACATTTATTTTCTCTTTCGTTACTTTTGGTGTCACGTCTGAGAAACCGTTGCCAAATCAAGATCACAAAAAATTTACTAGGCCAGGTGCAGTGCCTCACACCTGTAATCCCAGCACTTTGGGAAGCCAAAGATCACTTGAGCCCAGAAGTTAGTATCAACCTCGACAACATGGTAAAACCCCGTCTCTACAAAAAATAGAAAAACTAGCCAGGTGTGGTGGTGCCCGCCTACAGTCCCAGCCACTCAGGGGTCAAGATAGAAGGACTGCTTGAGCCTGAGAGGTCAAGGCTGCAGTGAGCTGCGATCGAGTCACTGCACTCTGTCCTGCACAACAGAATGAGACCCTGTCTCAAGAAAAGAAAAGAGAATACCACGATGTCTTCTCCCAAGAGTTTTAGAGTTTTAGCTCTTGCGTTTCGGTTGACCCATTTTGGGCCTGGAATGGTAACTAGCACGTAGTAAGTACCCAAATGATAGCATTATGATTATAATTATTATTAATAGTGACCCAGACCTAGGAATGAATCCCAAGGAGATGATTTTTAGGAAGGATAGGCATTAAGAGGTTTATCACAAACCATGGTACTTCTCAAGGCAAAAAGAAAAGGAAAAAAGAGGTTTATCACATTACTGACTTTTATTTTTAGGTTCGTAATGACATAGTAGATATATTTCCTGAAAGAGTTCCTTTCCTTTAGATATACACGGAAATACTGACAAATGAAATTGTATTATGCCTGGGATTGGGTGTCACTGGAGATGGCTACTTGGTACATCAGGTGATTTATATGTTTGGTTTCACAGAAAGGTAACTCTTGGGCTGAGTTTTGAAGCATGAAGAGGAGATTGCCAAGCAGGTGTGAGGTTGGCAGGAACATCTGACAGGCACAGCTTAGACAGAAACACAGAGAAACTAAAAGGGCACGTCATGTCTAGGGAGCAGCAGGCATTTATGCAGCACCTGCTGGTGCCATGCACAGTACAGCAATGGAGAGTCAGAGGCCCTGCCCTGTGAGCTGTCCAGAGTCCACATTCACACCGTGCTATAGATGTGGTCCGAGCTAAGAGTGTGTCAGAGACGTCTTCTCTGAGGAGGCACTTCTGGAAAAGAGTAGTTTTCATCAGGGAGATGGGACATGGGATCCAGCAGAAAAAACCACATGTGTGAAAATCTGGAGGGATGAGAAGGTGTGAAAGACAGTGGAGTGATCCACTGGACTAGGCCTGGAGATGGGAGGGGCATAGTCCAGGTCTGTGAGATCAGAGGTTAGAATTTCTTGCTTTCTTTGTCCCAGGATCTATGGAAGCCACCCAAAGAAACAGGGAATGGTGAGTGTGTGGGAGAGCAGTGACTGGTATGGATTTGTGTCCCTGCCGAAATCTCACATATTGAATTGTAATCCCCAGTGTTGAAGGAGGGGCCTGGTGGGAAGTGACCAGATCCTGGGGGCAGATATCCCCCCTGCTGTGCTGGTGGTAGTGAGTGAGTTCTCATGATATCTGGTTATTTAAAAATATGTAGCACCTCCCCCTTCTCTCTCTTTCCTGCTCTGGTCATGTGAAGACGTGCCTGCTTCTGCCATGATTAAAAGTTTCCTGAGGCCTCCCCAGCCATGCTACCTGTACAGCCTGCAAAACTATGAGCCAATTAAACCTTTCTTCTTTATAAATTACCCAGTGTCAGGTATTTCTTTATAGCAGTGAAAGAAGGGACTCATACATGGCGTCTAGGTGGATGCAGAGTCCTGGAGCACTGGCGTTTGTGGAGTGGACAAGAACAGGGGGAGGTCATGCCCTGGGCCATCCAGAGATGGTCTCCTGAGGTAAAGCCGATGAGCCCTCACGTGTGCAGCACAGACTCGTCGGAGAGCCTGGGTGTGGTGGGCACCAGACAGGATCAAGCTGAAGAGTGGAGGGTATGATGGACCAGGAAGGGCACGCAGAAGTTGGGCAGCACCGTGCACGGGAAAGTCACACACAGCCTGCCTCCAAGGCATCCGCAAAACGAGCAGATGCAGGCCGTGGGAAAGGCTGGTACACTGAGTGCTAGGAACTTGAAATGTGACAAACACAGTTTTTAAGGATCAGTAGAAAGTTTGGAAAATGTAAGAACTTCACTCAAGGCCAGGCACAGTGTAATTCCAGTCTTCGGGAGGCCAAGGCAGGAGGAGCACTTGGGCTCAGGAGTTCAAGACCAGCCTGGGCAACATAGAAAGACCCGTCTCTACAAAAATAAAAAAAAGTCAATCAATTGACTGGGTGTAGTGTCACGTACTTGTAGTCCCAGCTACTCAGGACCCTGAGGCAGGTAGATCACTTGCACCTGGGAGGTCCAGGCTGCAGTCAGCTAGGATAGCCCCACAACCTGGCTGACAGAGCAAGCCTATGTTCCAAAAAAGAAAACGTCACCCAGAAACTCATCATAAAAACAACTAACTCACGCTGCACTTCCATGCAGGAAGTGTTTGCCATCGGCCCCTGCACAGTGCAACACAAGTGGTGGTGGTGTTGCCCCTCCCAGCTGAGGAAGCAGGAGCCCTGCTCGCTGGGGAGAATGCAGCCAGGACAGGGCAGGGCTGGGCTGAGACGCAGGATCTGGCCTCAGATGGCCTTTTCTGGTTGGCTCCAGTCTTCACTCTGTGCCACTGGCCCCAGCAAACCCAGGTGTGGGCATAGACCACCGATATAGCTCGTCTGCACCATGAAACACCAGTGCAAGCATTATCTCGTTGGCATTGGGAAGCCTCAGAGTGCAAGGATTGAGATAATGGAATCCAGAAAGTGTCAGAATATAGAGCTGACCTTTCAGTTCAGCTGTGAAAAAATTGTAAAACTCTGTGCACTGAATGTGGGACTGTTTAGATGGATGGTGTGTAGCATAATTTTGTTGTTCTCCTATGCTTGACAGATGATTAAACTTCAGGAAGTATTTAAGGCATTTTATCTTGGAAAGCACAGTGGTCGAAAACTTCAGTGGCAAACTACTTTGGGGCATGCTGTTTTAAAAGCAGAGTTTAAAGAAGTAAGTTCTTTGTTTCGTTTATTTTTTGTTTGTAAATATGTTAATAGAGGTTTTTGATTGTTGCTAAATTTTGGTAGCAAAAAAAAGGAAAGAGTGTTTCGCTTTAATTTACTAGCTTTTATAAGTCAATTAATAACAAAGGGTTAATATTCCAATCAGTAAAAAGTATTAAGAAATTAATCCATAGAAAACCATTTACCTATGGGGGAAAGAAAAAGCAGAGACTGTGAAGAGGTAACTCATAGAAGCAAAACTGAAAAAAATTAATGTCCATGAAGATGCATTACACTTCTCTGCTAAACAAAGGGCTTCAAAATAAAATACAGTAAGATACCACTTTTTGACTAAGAGATTTGATGAAGCCTTAAAAAAAAAAAAAAAAACTGACTCTTAGTCACTACTGGAAGAAGCATCAGCTGTCGTGAGTGTTTGGAAGAGCAGCCTGGCACTGTCAACTCTGAGTATTTGGAAGAGCAGTTTGGCACTGTCTGCTGCGGCAGCACTGCTGAATTGTTGCCATACTTCCAACTCTAGAACTTCATCTTAATAAGACATTTTCACAGATTAGTGAATGCGAATAATTGTGGCAGTGCTGTTATTATCAGTGATTAAGAGGGGCGAATACATTCAATGCACCAATCAATGAGAGGAGCTTGTCATGAAATAGGGCAATTATATACACTAAGCAAAACTTTATAAAATTCCTATTTTCCTTAGCTATTATATTAATAAGACACTTGCCTGTACATTACTAAATAAGTTATACATACCTACTTTATGTATATTATTGTATAGAGTCATATATGTAAAACCATATATACTCTTCCTTAAGGTATGAGGACAGTTAATTTCTGTTACCCTCAGTTCTTTCCGTACTTGCTGACTTTAGTAGAACTTGACCTCCACAGGGTTTGTGCTGGCACCACCAGCTGCGCTCTCTCCAGGTGTGCAGGAGGGCTTGTTACGGGCTGGTGATGAGTCAGGGCTGGGTCTGCAGAGGGAGCCCCTGACTGCCACACCACCTTGCGCATGCCTCTCATGGGTCTGACTGGGAGGCATGGGGCAAGTCGCTGCAGCAGAAAATCCTGAATAGAAAAGGAGGTCATCTTAGGATATCTAAGGCCAAGTTACATTGCGCCTATGTTACAGTCAGTCTCATGCAAAAGGCAGCTGGGCTAATGGATTGATTATGCCCCACAAGCTTATTTTGTTATTCTTTCTTGTAATGAAATTGCTGATGGTTTTGCCAGTTTCCTCTTTTTGGCATTTTTTTTTTGTTTTGGGACAGGTTCTTCCTCTGTCACAGGCTATAGTGCTGTGGCATGATCCTAGCTCACTACAGCCTCAGCCTCCTACCTCAGCTTCCCGAGTAGCTGGGACTACAAGTGTGTTCTATCATGGCTGGCTAATTTTTAAAAATTTTTTGTAGAGATGGGGTCCCACTATGTTATCCAAGCTGGTCTCAAATTTCTGGGCTCAAGCAGTCCTCCCCTTGGCCTCCCAAAGTGCTGGGATTACAGGTGTGAACTACTATGCCCAGCCTACTAATAATTCTTAATCACGTCACGAAAAGTTTGAGAGTGAAAAGAAGCTTCTTTTAATTTTTCAAAGATTGTACAAGCACAGCTTCAAAGGTGTGATGAGGCCTTCTCTTCCAGGGGAAGAAGGAATTCCAGGTATCCCTCTTCCAGACACTGGTGCTCCTCATGTTCAACGAGGGAGATGGCTTCAGCTTTGAGGAGATAAAAATGGCCACAGGGATAGGTATGAAAACCCCAGAGTGCATAGCTCCACAAGTTGTTTCTAAAGCATGTATTTGTTTTAAGATAAGACATAGACTTGTGAGCATGATTTGTTTACTGTTGTTGAGTCTCATTTAATGCCAACCTTTGCCTGCATTTGCTTCCCATTCAGAGGATAGTGAATTGCGAAGAACGCTGCAGTCCCTGGCCTGTGGCAAAGCCCGTGTGCTGATTAAAAGTCCCAAAGGAAAGGAGGTAGAAGACGGAGACAAGTTCATTTTTAATGGAGAATTCAAGCACAAGTTGTTTAGAATAAAGATCAATCAAATTCAGATGAAGGAAACTGTATGTATAAATTTTCTCCTTTTACTTATAGGGTGTTTAGCAAGGAATCATCAGTTTTTGTAGTAATTTTTTTTTTTTTTTGGCTGTTAAGAGGCCTGAAGCACATTTCCAAAATATCTAATTTAACTATATAGTGTTTATAAGAGTACTCATGTTCATGTCACTGTCATTAACTTTACATTCTTAGTAGGAAAGAAAATCAGAAAAAAAGCCTTTTAATGTTATTCCTATTCACAAAAAACTGCGCTAAGCCAGAACTTCCCATATCGAATTGTATTACCATAGAAAGTATGGGGAATTTCTGAAACTCTATGACTGTCGTCATATTTTTTGCAGCATAGTTCAGCCATTCTCTGAGCCTCAGCCTCAGGTAGGGTTCTGGGTGGAAAATGCAGGCTCTGTGGCTGGGCCTTTGATGTCATGGAGCCATTGCAATGGGACCTGTGTCACTGTGACCACAATGAGGTCTTTAGGTTAGATAAGACTCTGGAGGGTCACGTGTCCACACAGTTAGGAACCACTGCTCTGAGGTGCCTTCTGATGCAGCAGCCCCCACCCTTTGTGTGCACTCACCACCACCACCAAACTCATATGTGTAATGGACCAGCCGGCCTCCTGGTGGTGCCTGTAAATACCATGTCTAATGCAGGAGCCCTCCCCCCACTACCCACGTGTGTAACATGGACCAGCCGGCCTCCTGGTGGTGCCTGTAAACACCATGTCTAATG